GTCAGGTATTTTTTAGTATTTTATATCAATATTTTAAAACTCATAAAATAATCTAGTTTTGTGTCTCTCTTTAATTGTTCTTACTTAAGTATTAACTGCTTGAAATAATAAGCTACCTTTCAGAATAACGTTTTGTTTTTATTTTAACAGATCATTTTATTGGGGGCTCTTACAGCCATTTTTTTATACTTAAAATGGTCATGAGCTAAGCAAACAGGCTGTTACCTTATTTGCATCCCACCACTGGGTGCTAGCACATTGGAAAGCACTGTTCTCAGGAGCTCACACCTCCTTGGTGTTGTTATCCACCTTGCTGGATTTTCTACTGAGAGTAGAGCCATAGGGATGGATAAAGGAGTTCTTTTCATCTTGCTCAGAACTTGAAGTGTTATCATTTCATGACTCATTACAAACATACTGAAAACAGCAGTAAGGAAAAATATTCTCCAACTTCCAAACACATTTGGTCCATAATAACAGCACAAAATCTGTGTTAGTGTACTAACACAGAGGTCTTTATAAAGTTAAAGCCACCCAATTGTGCAAAGAAGTCTCCAATTTTATATACTTGGAGGTTTTTAATGACAGTTCCTTTACCTCCAGCAGTTCCTTCTTATGGGCATCCAAAGCAAACACTGCCAGAAGCAAGCACATCCTCCTGAGGAATTCTGAGAGCATGTTGGTGCCACCAATCTGTCATGACCAAACACATATCCTCCCTACATTACTTTTTCCATGTTCCCTTTCATTTAACAACTTGTCTTAAAGAGAAGATGCTGGAATGATGTGGTCATAAACATTTACTTTAGGCAATAAGTTGGGTTCACAGGTACTTGGGTTCACAATCTCTGAAAAAGGGAAGTTTTACACAAAGAAATACAGGAAGAAACCAAGTAGTAAAATGCATTCTATTGACTAGCAATGCAGAGGGAGGAGGGTAATTACCTGTGTGACTTTAATACTAACTATATCGGTTTCCTTGCTGCTCTAACAAAATTACGAAAACTCGGGGGCTGGAAACGAGTCAAATGTATGTTCTTAGAGCTCCAGAGGGCAGAAGTCTGAAAGGAGTCTCACAAGCTGAAGGCAGAGCCATGTTGCTTCTGTGACTCCCTGGAGGAGAATCTGTGTTGTCTTTTCTAGCTTCTAGAAGCCACCTAGATGCCTTGGCTCATAATGCCCTTATATCTTTTAAACCAGCAATGGACTATCAAATTTTCCTCACTCTAACATTGATATTTCTGCCTGCCTTGTCTATGTTAAAGACCTTTGTGATCATAATTGAGCCCGCCTGGATAATCCAGGGTCACTGTCATAAAGCCAAATATGAGCAACAATAATTCGATCTGTTGCCTGATCTCTTTGCCATGGGCCCTAACATTCATCAAAGTCTGTTATTCTGCATCCCACGCTGACTTTCTCTATTTTGCTTTTCATATTCTCCATAAACAAAACATTGAAAATGTCTGCAAAAAATCAAGGATGCAAATTAATCCAATGGACTACTGGATCATAAGAACATCATTCTCCGTGAGCGATAGACCAGAAGAGCCATATGTGGCTCGGCTATCACTGCCAACTGCTCTGAAAGGGATAGATGACCCTGAAATCACACACACACTGACCAGGCTTACTGGTCAGATAGAGACTGGTGGAACCCCCGAGACTGTGGTCTTTAGTTACCCTTCAGGATCTAGGACAGAACTAACCCCCCAGACTATTTTTAAGCAAACAGTGGGCGGTTCTATGAAGGAGGACTGGAAGCAGGAAACACGGGAAGGACATGCTTTTATGTGGAAAGGTGGCAATGGAGGCACTGAAATAAAACATGAAAGATCTGTTGAATGTAACTGATGATCAACTCTGTAAACATTTGCCCAATGCACAATAAAAAGTTAAGTGTGTGTGTGTGTGTGTGTAATCTGCCTGGTCAGGAGTTCAAAACTACCAGCAGCTCAGCAGGAAAAAGATTGGGCTTTCTACTGTCATAAAGATGGATGGTCTCGGGTGCATAAGCAAATGTGGCGAAGAAAGCTGATGGTGCCCGGCTATCAAAAAGTATA